CTGAGCTCCTAGATCCTGGGGAATTATGGTACTGAGTTGGATGTTATGAGTAATTTAGTTGGATCACTGAGCTGAGTAACAGAAGAACCTGAGCATAGTTGAGAAGCAATCATAATTTAATGGCAAAAGAAAAGAACCATGCCAGGTAGCTTTTCTTTTCCCATATCTGTGTATAATATAACCTTGTTGAACACCCATTTATAGTAATTAGCAGTATATTGGTAGGGATGGATATCATCTTGTTAATGTCACCTCCTACAAATCTCATTCTAAAGAAGAGCGAATTGCCAGAGTGGGGGTTTGCAAATGTCTAAGGCTATTTTTTTTAAAGATTTTATTTATTTATTTGACAGAGATCACAAGTAGGCAGAGAAGCAGGCAGAGAGAGAGAGGAGGAAGCAGGCAGAGAGAGGAGGAAGCAGGCTCCCTGCCGAGCAGAGAGCCTGATGTGGGGCTCCAACCCAGGACCCTGGGATCATGACCTGAGCTGAAGGCAGAGGCTTTATTTAACCCACTGAGCCACTCAGGCACCCCATGTCTAAGGCTATTTTTTTAACCTGTATTTAACCATTGCCGTGGTATGGAGGGGAGATAGGATTTATGGTAAAATGTTAAGTAAACACAGTTTTATCATAGCTATACCCCTCTCCCACAAATATATGTCTAATCTGTTTTGGTCTGCATCAATAGTCTCAAAAGAGGGACGTAGGAAGTGGCACTGCCAACGGACTGGGGAATGCCCTGTTCAGATTCACATTGCTTTTCTGTACTTTTGCTGATCCCATGCAGCTACCTTTCCCTGAGAGCTAGTACTATTCACCTGATGGTATTGGCTGCCAGTTGACAGAAAGGATTCACCTAGATTAGGTGGTTACTTCCTCTTCCTGTCTACAGACTTGGAAAAGTAGAGTTTACTTGCCTCCAAAGGTTTCTCGGAATGTAGTGGTACAAAATGTTCACAAGTAGGAAAATTCCTTAAAAAGCTGTGTCTGGTTACTCTCAGATAAACATTTCCATTAATATTTCATTTCATTTTGAATGCCTTTCTTGCTTGTAGTATTTTTTTTTTTTCAGTGTATGTAGGTGGCTTCAGACCATACCGTAGAGGTATTTTCCAAAAAGCTTCAATCTTTGTCTTACTATGAACTGTTTTCCTTAGTTCTTGTCACTAAGCAGCTCCTCTCAACAGGCTCAAATCCCTTTTTCTACTTTAATCTGTCTCTGATTACGTTGACGTCGTACATCCTTTTGGGAACTCATACGTGTTTTAATAATATATTGAAGAAGAAATTGCCTATTTCTTCCCTCTGTGCATTGGGAAAATAAAAATTTTTGTTGCTATTTTTAGGTAATACGTATTGAATGTTCCCATAGTCATTGCCCTGTACAAAGAAGTTATCACACACAAGATACAATCTCCTGTGCTCAGTGATGTTTATTCTGTTTCAGTCTACTTTAAAATGCTTCATTTCCCAAGTTCTTTTCCCCCATGAAACGTTGCTTGTAGGTATTTTGTTTTTTTCAGTTCCATATATGTGTTCTTTAAAAAAATTTTTTTGAAATTCTTTTGTTGAAAAATAACCAACGTATAATATTGTATTGGTTTCAGGTATACAACATAGTAGTTCAGTATTTACATACATTATGAAATGGTCACCACAATTAGTCTAGTTACCATCTGTCACCGTATAAAGTTGTTACAATATTATTGACTACATTCCCTACGCGGTACATAACATAGCCTTGTACCTCCTAATCCCTTTCAGTGACTTGGTTCACCCCTCCTCACCCCCTTCCCCTCTAGCAACCATCCATTTGTTCTCTGTTATCTGTGAGTCTGTTTGTGTTTTGTTTGAACACATTCATGTTCTTTATGAAGTATACTGGATGAGCATTTGTAAATGAGAAATTAGAGCCCAGATTGTGAAGGCATAGTTGTATTCTGTCTCCGAAAAGTCTGATTTCTTACATCTTCAGACATCTGTCCTAAACACAGTAGAGTTGTCAAGTAGCAATCTCTCCCATCTTTGCCACAGATATTTTTCCACCACACCAACTGCCAAAGTGAGTGTTGCTGGGGGCAGGTAAGGAACAGGGAGAGTGTAGACAACTCTGCATCTGCTTTACCTGTTATGAGGGCTCTTGAGGACAAATACTCAACAGTGCCTGAATTCATAGAATGTTAAATGTGCAAGAGACCACAGCAAGTTATCAGGGTTATCATACTACTTTCTGTTACATCTCCGAGCCCTTGCTTATTATGGAGTACCTTTTCTCCAAGGCTGCCTGGCAAAATGCAGCTTATCCTCTAGCACCCTATGCCTTGAATTCATCATCCCTTCATCAGTGATGGTATATCATTGTAAGAATCTGTATGTAATTTGCCCTACTATGTGTTTTGAATGCCCTTTGACATACTCCCTAATATAGTGGTTAATTTGTGTTCTCTTTCTCTTTACCCTACACATTTTGAATGTTTGGTTGAGTAGATAAGATTATGGTAAGAATGATGTGCACCTATATTTTAGAGGGATAAAGAAGATGATTGAAGGTAAAGCACTTTTGAATGACTTTCATCTCTAGGGATTTTGATGGGAAACAATTTTACTGACACTTTTAGGTTTCTCAAGTCATTGAGGAAGAGAATACACAACTTAGTTCTGTGTCGTGGAGAAGCCATCGTGGTATTTTAAAGACATGCTAGTATATATGTTGTGTGTGAGTCACACAGCAGTGTGATTCACTTTGTTCTCAGTCAGCCAAGGGTCATGTTATGGAGATATTTGTGTAGGTGTCATTATAGGGGAAGATTGGTATCTTACTGTCCACATAGTGGTTGCTGACGTTGACTCTACCAAATTACAAAGTGAAAAATAAAGAGGTGAAGTTCATTGTTAAAGATAGTATGTGGAGGGCACCTGGGTGGCTCAGTTGTTAAGCAGCTGCCTTTGGCTCAGGTCATGACTTCAGGGTCCTGGGATCAAGTCCCACATCGGGCTCCCTGCTCAGCAGGGAGTCTGCTTCTCCCTCTCCCACTCCCCCTGCTTGTGTTCCCTCTCTCACTGTCTCTCTCTCTTTGTCAAATAAATAAATAAAATCTTTTTAAAAAATAAATAAAAAATAAAAATAGTGTGTGGAGTGCCTGGGTGGCTCAGTCAGTTAAGCGTCTCCTTTCTACTCAGGTCATAATCTCAGGGTCCTGGGATCGAGCCCCCAATGTGGGCTCCCTTCTCAGCTAGAAACCTGCTTCTCCCCCTGCCTGCCACTCCCCCTACTTGTGTGCTCTCTCTCTCTCTCTCTCTCTCTGTCAAATGAATAAATAAACTCTTTAAAAAATAGAGTGTGTAGATTTTAGGTAGTAGTATTTGTATGAATGTGTCTAATTCTTGTCTTCCTGATAATTCCTAGTCAAGAACAATTAGAGAAATGCTCTAAGTGGAGCATCAGTATCTTATCTCAAGTTATAAGGTGTTCAGGTACATATGATGTGGAAAGCAGAAAACCTGGAATTTCTCTTTTGCTTTTTATCTTCGTACTTTTAATGTAGGTCATCCAACACTTGAATACTAACATCGACAATCATTTGGCTTTATGGTCATTTTTTTCAATGCCTTTGAGAATTTGGTTCTTGGAAGAAGGTAATTCTTAGCACTGCTCCTGGTTTGTATACATTGTTTATTTTGGGACCTGTCTGATGTTGTGGCCACCTGTGAGAACTTTGCATATTTAATTGTTTGAGATGGGTGACTGAAGTACTTGAACAGGATCTTTTCACTCAACTGCTGATGACTGACTAGAGAGTACTTTAAATACAGAATGTGCTCTCCATCTCAACAGCATATTATTAGAAATACATGACCTATGGTATGTCCCCCTAAAATTTAAATTTTTAGAAAGCAGAATTGTACTGTATCCTACCCATAATACTGTAAATACTCACATTAACACGAACCACCCCCAACTGTAGGGTATTTATCCTTTTTACACAATGTGCTAAAATGTGTAAATTAATTTATTTCATACAAATTGACATATAAAGTTGTTTCTAACTAGAATTGTTTCTAGAATCAACCATTAATCAAGGCTATCCCTGGTTTGCTGCCAGATCCAAACCTCTACTATATTAAACTTCATTTAAAACTATACAAATTTCTTGATGCCATTGTATTTAATGCTTGAGAGATTGTATTTGTTGGCCATACTTTTATCTAAAAACTAAAATAATTTTTCTGGTTTCAGAGTCTTATTTTTATTTATTCAGAGTATTTATTTTTATCTTATTGTTAATGTTTGCTCTTGCCCTTTACCTCTCCAAACCCTACCCCTTTTTCTAGGCCAAGCTGAAGAGAAGCAGAGTTGATCAGATTTTCTTCTGTCCCTGTAGGTTCATTCATGGCATTTCGGACTTAGTTTATAGCACTCAATTTCTTTTGCCTGTGAGTTAGTTGTGAACACGCCTCCCTTCTAGAGAGGTACCATGGTGTTTTGGGCAACCTTGTATTTCCTGTAACCTTTTGCAGTACTTTGCCCTGAGATATTCAGTATTTGTTGAAATTATGGGTTTTGTTGTTGTTGTTTTTCTAAACTAGACTTAATGAATCAGTCAGTAACTCGACTAAAGTCAGTAACTTTAAACAGGTTTAAATGAGGACTCAAGCAGTCACCATGCTGGTTAAGGCTTTGTCCAGGTTGCTGTTCCGATTTCATTATGTATTAACTGTGGAACTACCTCATCTGTAAAATAGGACTGTGGTAATAGCATTACTCAGACTCTTAGAGTTGTTGATGAGGATTGATATAGACAATTTGTTTAAAACATTTATCGTGCTGCCTCACATATAGGTTCCCCTCAATCATTCCAGCTATAATTGCTAAATGCAGTCCGTTGGGCTAGACTCAGCCATATCTCAGGCATCTAACCCTGCGTATAAAAAATATCCAATAAATAACTTGCTTGAGTTGAATTGATTGATTGACCCTATTTTTATCTTCCGTTACAGCCCACTGTTTGTAACATGGAAGATCGGTCGAGACAAAAGATTGCGTGGATGCATAGGTACTTTTTCTGCCATGAACTTGCATTCAGGACTCAGGGAGTACACACTTACCAGGTGAAGATCAATTTTTGTTACCTCTGCTTCTACATTAAAAACAAAACAAAACAAAAAAAAACTTATAAGACTTGAACCTGCTACTTTAACTCCTTTGCCTTTACTAAATTGCTAACATTCTTGACTTCTTTCACATCAGATTTTTCCTTCTCTTCAACCATTTGCCTTATCTCTGATAAAACATTATTGCTATATTATCATAATATAAAATACTGTGATTACATGTATTCTGCCATAGATGTTTTAAAGTGTCTTCCTTCAGAGGCCAGCTTATTTTGTGTAACTTGAAAGTCAGTACCCAAATGTCAATGGCTTACCAAAATGTATTATTTCCATAATAACACTGTGTCTTCTCTGTTAGGCTTTTTAAGAATTGTTGAAATCTGTCATCTTACACATGTTGCTACACTTTTGTGTACTTTTGTAGTGAAGGGGAGAACCTTGGAAGAAAGGGATGCCACAGCCTGGCAGCGTAATCATTCACATTCACGCTTTACCCAGAATTAATTGTAGCTTACTTATTTTGTTTCCTCTAACACAAGGACAAAGTAATGAATGCCTCATTGCAGTTGTTAAGACTTTGTTTTTAATTTCCGAACTCACAAAAAGCTATCGAGCATGCCATCTGTTTTTTTTTTTTTTTTTTTGGTTCAAGTTTAGATTTCTAGCAATTTAGGTTCCAAAATTATTTCAAAGAAGAAAATTCCTTAAATAATAAGCTATTAGTAAAGGAATTTCCTGTTTTTCATATTTCAGGGTGATTATCTGATACAGTTTCTATAGTTGTAATATACACAAGTATCTGTCCAGCAAGAAATTGGTCCTTGCTGACTATTGGTACTTGGGGCACATTGCTTAACCTCTAGTAGTTAAAGTAGTAATTACAGGATTTTGTTTTACATACTTAATAAGGATGTTAGGGAGGTGTTAGGGGAATGAAATAATACTCAGTCACTACTTTGCTTCTGGATTAACATTGTGGAACATTCATTATTTTATTTTAGGGTTACATAAATGTGGCTTGTGCTACCAGTTAATAAAATGCTGGTAACCGAGTTTAGCATTCTTATATTTGAAGGTGCAGCTCACAGGTACAGGGTTTTCTTAGCTTACAGTGAAACCTGGAAAGGAAAACAAAGGCTTTGGAGGGTCACCTTCATTTTTTTATATTTGCATAGGCATTAGAATTGAGTGTTTGGACTTGATTAAGAACATACAAGCAGTAAAGGGGTCAAAACACATATTCTGGAAATGAATTGAACTTGCTAAAGATAGTGTAAAGTCTAGTCTAATCAAGTTAGATTTTTTTTCTTGACATGAAATACTGCGGATAATTTTGGGACTTCAGCAAATTCTGCCAGTGACTACCTCTTTGGGACTGGTACATACGAAATTACTCCTTTAATAGCTAATCAAAGGCAATTTATGACACATTTCCTAAAATAAGTAGTTATGAGGAACTTTGGTTCCTTGGTTATTGCTTGGAAAAAAGGATCCTATGGCTAAATAAATTTGGGGAACACTGGTTAAGCCAATTTAAAGAGCTGTGCTCACTGCAGGACTTCTCAGAACCTTTCATGTTAATAGTGTTGTGAATCTCCAAGAGTGAGATCTAGAATGCAGCGTTTCCCAAACTTCAACTCTTTTGACCACAGAACACTTTCTTTGTTAAGATTATTTATTATTTGACAGAGAGACAGAGAGAGAGAGCACGCACACACAAGCAGGGGGAGCAGCAGGCAGAGGGAGAGGCAGAAGCAGGCTTCCTGCTGAGCAGAGAGCCCGATGTGGGGCTGGATCCCAGATCCTAGGATCCTGAGATCATCCACTGAACTGACTAAGCCACCCAGGTGCCCGAGAACCCTTTTATCCTACCACACCATTCATTGTCTTATGCCATCAGTATCCCAAGGAACACATTTTCAGAAATTTACAAGTCTGTCATAAAATTTCCATTTTTCTTTATGTTTGGGGAGTCTAGGTGGATAGTACAGAAACCCTTTGTACTTTGTAATGACACTGTGGCAGAAATCCCAGTATCAAATGTTATATACTTTAGAAAATCCTTAGTGGTGGTGACTGTAGCAGCACTTGGGTTTTGTTTAAAGAAAATCTGAAATTCTTTTGCCTATAGTGGTAAGACGGGATGAAATACTCAACTTCTCCACACTTGCAGATTGGTCTCTTAGGGATATTACCAGAGGAATTATAGTGGGGTTTTTGGGGACAATAATGTGATTCTGAATGAATCCATCAAATAGCTCAGCTTGAAAATTTGCTGACATTTGTATACATGGTTACCCTCATTGTAGTCTATGGCTCTTCCTGTTCATTTTTCAACTTTTTTCCCTCATGTTTTTATACAACTTCCTGAAATAGTGTACGGCACACTAGATGCGTATGTTTGTGTGTGTGTGTATACACATGTTCATACCCAATCGTTTCATTTCTGTTTGGCTTGATTCTTTTTGCTTACATGACAATAAGAAAGAAGTTATTTGGAAGAGATGAACAAAAGAAAATGCGTCTTACAATATACAGTTGTTCTTTTTTTCTAGATTCATCTTAGAGTCGAAACTACAGAGTCAACTTTAGAAAAGTCACCACATAATGCCTTTCAGTCTAATAAGGGGCATTTACCATTTCTGCTGTTGATGGTATTATTATTAATAGCTGCCATTTATTAAAACTTGCTACATGTTGATACTGCAGAGAAGCTTTATATACATGCTACTCACAACTCTTAGGTATCAGTACCACATTTTAAAACTGAAGAAACTGAGGTTTATGGAATTTGAATAATCTATCCCCTCACACATCTAGTAAGCAGTAGAATCCATCTGACTGCAAAGTTCTAAGCCCTTAACTAAGACATTTGAGATAAAACAAAACCATTTTTTTCTGAGAAATTATGTTTTGCAGGTTTGTCATGCAAATAGTGAGCTCAAAAGAGAGTTACTACAAATTGTCTAAGTCATGGATCGATAATTCGTCACAAAAATCTAGCTAGGAGTTAAGACTGAAATTTTGGAACATTATTTTAAATTCCAGAAAATCTGCAGATGGAATTATAAAAAATACATAATACAGGGTTGTATAGACTAGTCAGAGGAAAACTGACTTGGATTGATACTGAAAAAAGGGACAATGCTTATTACAAAAATATACTTTGGTGTGATAGGAAATTGCATTCTCTGGGACCTGTAAATAATGGACTAGACATTGAGAAGAATACAGTTTTTTTAAACATGACAATTAGGGATTCTTGGAGTTCATTCTTCAATCTTAAAAACCCATAAATCACAAAATTTACAAATGGAATCAAATGAAAACAAAAAATGAACTGTGAAATTAAAGACTCACCAGGTAGAGAGGTATTTTAAAAAAATTATCAGAGTATCTGGCTTTTCACTGTCTTCATCTGTGATTAGGTAGACTGTTGTTTTCAGAATATTACTCGGATATACCTTTATTTATTGTGAAATATATATAACATGAAATTTATGTTTTTTGGAATTTACCATTGTAAATTTACCATTTTAACCAATTTTAAGTGTACAGTTCTGTACATTAAAGTGCAACCATCACCGTCATTCATAACCAAAATGTGTTCATCTTTCCCAACTGAAACTCTGTAGCCACTAAACACTAACTCCCTGCTGTTCCCTCCCTGCCCCGGGCAACCATCATTCTACTTGCTGTCTCTGAATATGACTCTTTTATATACCTCATATAAGTGAAATACAGTATTTGTCTTTTTGTGATGTCTTATTTGGTATAGCATAGTATCTTTAAGGTTCACCCATGTGGTAACATATGTTAGAATATCCTTTCCTTTTAAAAGGCTGAGTAATATTTCATTGTATATATCTACCACATTTTGTTTATTCATTCGTCTGTCTGTGGACGTTTGGGTGACTTCAACCTCTTGGCTATTGAAAACAATGCTGCTGTGAACATGGGCATACACATATCCAGTTGAGTACTGCTTTTTTTTTTTCCATTCTAAAAACTAACCATTTTACAGAAGACAATGATCTAATTTGTTTATGGTCCCTTAATCTCCAAAACCTAAATCTAAAGTGACCAGGTCCTTTTTAAATGAAATGCCTATTGTAGATTATGTTTTTATTTATAAAATACAGTCTTAAAATTCAGACACTTGCCATAGTCAAGTTTTATGTTCTCCTAATTGAAACTTTGATTTAAGGCTGAACTCAAACTTTATAAATAGGCTGATTTCCTCCCAATTATAAAAATGTATAATTTCTGTGTCTGCAGCAGAAAGACTTTGTGAGAATTATAACATGGAACTATGGAAGATACTATTCCTTCCTTGTCCTTGGAGACTCTGGGTAAAAGCAGGCAAGATTAGAGCAAACAAGTAGCAGGATGGAGAGCTCAGAATTACTGATAGAAGTTTATCCATGGTGACATGTTCAAGTCCACAAATGACTATATTTATTCGTGGTCAGACCTTCCAAGTAGAAATATTCTTTGTCCCAATTGAAGAAGAACAATATCTAGTATTTGCCAAGCTACTTGCATTTCTGGCTATTACATGTTAGAAAGCCGAGGCAAACTTATCAATCCTTTCGCTTAGTACTTAGAGTATATACTTTTATAGGAAGAGAATCATGACTCATATAGATGAATACAAACGTCTCAGACAAAGAAGATTCCTTAAAATTTTGGTCAGTAAGGTGCCCGGCAAAGCGTAGGTCTGATTCTTTATGTAAATTCAGGTTGGTGGTAATTCTTCCAGAACATATGAGGGAATAATAGAGGTGTTCTTATTTTGTAAAACAGAAATGTGGTCTGTCATCAAGCTTAAAAGACTTTCTTTTCTTCTCATTTACTTTATTGGATTTAGACCTCTCAGTGGTGAAGTGATTATGCAGGTGCGTGGGCAGCGTCTGGAGCTTGATTCTGAACTATGCCACTTTGTTGCATTACTTAATTCTGAGAAAATAACAATGGAGGTTTTTTCCTTACTAAGG